TCAAACTGGAGGGCTGTGACCTCCAGTGCGCCGCAGGGATCAATATCTGTGTCCACTGTTATTTGTCATTTATATGAATGATCTGGATAAAAATTTAGAAGGTATGGTTAATAAATTTGCAGATGACACCATGATTGGTGGTATAGTGAACAGTGAAGATTATTGGGGAATACAGTGAGATCTTGATCAACTGGGCCAGTGGGCAGAAAAATGGCGAATAGAGTTTAATTTAGGTAAAAGCAAGGTGTTGCATTTTTGGTAGGTCAAACCAAGGCAGGACTTACACAGTCAATGGGGAGTGTTAAGAAATCTAGAGACACAGGTTCATAGTTCCTTGAAAATGGAGTCACAGAAAGGATGGTGAAGGTGGCTTTTGGCAAGCTTGCTTTCATTGGTCAAAGCATCGGGTATAGGAGTTAGAATATCTTGTTACAGCTGTACAAGATGTTGGTAAGGCTGCATCTGGAGTACTGCCTGCAGTTCTGATTGCCCTACTACAGAAGGCATATTAAACTAGAAACAGTGCAGAAAAGATTAACTAAGATGCAACCTAGACTGGAAGGTCCGGGTTATAAGGAGCGATTGGATAGGCTGAGACTTTTTTCCTCTGAAGTCTAGGAAACTGAGGGGTGACCTTATTGAAGTCCATAAAATCATGAGACACAAACTAGGTAGATAGCCAACTGCTTTTCCCCATGGTAAAGTCGTCTAAAACTAGAGTGCATAGGTTTAAGGTGAGAGGGGACAGATACAAAAGAATCCAAAAGGGCAATTTTTTCACATAGAGGGTGGTGAGTATCCAGAACAGGCTGCCAGAGGTAGTGGTGGAGGAGAATACAATTTCATCATGTAAGAAACATTCAGACACAAATAGGTGGGGTATAGGTATGGGGGAATATGGATCAAACTCAGGCAAATAGGACTAGTTGATTTGTGAAAATTGGGTAGCATGGACAAGTTGGGCTAAAGGGCCTTTAGCCATGCTGTAAACCCCTACAATTCCACTGAAGATTACATTCCTTTCGCCTTGAGACATGGCCATGTGGTTGCAGTGCATGCAGTTGTTTGCCACATAAGCTGCTGCCATATACTGATGTGCCACATGTCTATTGTAACCAATCATCACTGGCAAAAATGACAAGCTGCCTGGCTTTATGTCTGTGCTAAAAGGCAAGTTAGACAGAAGTACTATAAGCCTGTAAAATTCTGAATGAAACAGCAATGTACTAAAAGATTAGGCAGTGATCCTGAGTATTCAAATAGGCTCAAAGTGACTAGGTGCCAAGAAAGGAAGCTAAGAGCCCAGGAACCTGTCCTGATGCACGAGATGGGTGCCAGTTCCTGTGTGTAAAGTAGTGTGACAGCTGTACAGTGATGAAATGGCAAACTGCACAACAAGTGAGTCCATGATGTGTTATGATGTGGTGAGGTCGATGCCAATTTTCACAGCCAGCAGGGGTAGGCAGTTGCTGCTGCCAGGTACCGATCAGGCTTTCAGGTTGAGAATTGTGGCTGTCTAGTCTCACTAGTTGTTATGCATGCATATAGGTCCCTCATTGCTCACTAGTGAGATCTCACCTCACTTAAACCTTGGCAGAAAATTTGACTTTCTTTACTCGATTTCTTCTTGATCTCGCCACATTTTACCGACTTGCCATTGTCCGTGTTGTTCCACGGCTTAGAAAATTCCACCCCATGACTTTATTCTCAACTTGCATCAGTTATGATCTGTTTTAATAATTAATTCATTGTAAACCGTTTGCTGGTAAACAGCTGGGATGCCCATTATAAATGCCAGATTGATAAAGTTGAAGTAAGAGCAGGTTGTTTAGATATACAGTTAAAAACTTTAGTAAAACCTCCAGAAAAAAAATCCAGTAAAAATTGTACTAGCTATTCAAAATCTAGTTTTTTCTTCAGGAAACTCCTGATAATGTATCTGGTGATTCTTTTGTTACCTTTTGAAACCTTGTATTTCAGATTTTCTATTTCACGCTCCTTGTAAAGGTTAGATGAAATAGATGACAAGACCATAATATGATGTCAAAGTTTGAAGGTTGTTCTCACTTTGATGCAATTAAAAACTCTTCTGATTTGTCCTTATTCAGGGCTCAATGAAGTGTGTGTTTCCAGCAAGTCTGGCATTCAAGATTGCTGCTAAGAGTCATCTGTGCACGTCCCATTTAGTAACATCAGTCTCCAGCAATAGGTATCTTGGGAATGCCAGAATGCCTCTCCATGTGTGCAATGACATTCTGACTGGCACATTGAGAATTTTCAGACTGGCTTCCAATATGAAGGAGGTGACATTGCAATAAGCTTAGATTTTCAGAAAATGTATGACATAATGGTACCAGACAGGCTAAAGTGAACAGGACCCATTTGAGGTGCTGAGCTGCAACGAATGGCCGGTACCACCATCTTCCATTCTGTTAACTAGCTTCAAATTCCATGCTGTAAGTTACAAGACACTCACTTAATTTGTTCCATGTTTTGACCTCAAAATAAGAAAGAAAGGTCTATTTGGCTGGGTATGTTGTTTTGAAAAAGCAGTTACGACTGATTGACCAGGAATCTTAGTTGCACCAGAGTAAACATTAGGAAGTAAAATTTGCCCCATTAATCGCCCATATTTTGCCTTCTATAACTGTTTAAATAGTCTGTTCTTTGCAACCTATTACAACCATCTATTGTTCTTCGCTCTGCCTTTGCATTTGTTCTCAACTTGTTGCATATGTGACATTTCCATCTCTGATGCAGAACTTCAATTCTCACTCATTCAGGCAGAGCTACTTTGTGATTTTACACCAATGTTTATTTACAGCCTGTGAATATATGGGCAGTGCCATCTTTATAACAGGCAGCTGCCACTCAGTGGCTTGACCACAATGTAGTGCTCAGTGCTACTGTTTCGACACAAGTGCACTTGGTGCTCTGTCCAACTACAGGCATTGCCCCTAAACACAGCCATCGAACCAAGTTGTTCCCAGTGTTGTTCTAAGTTATTGATATTCTGAGCATCCACAAGGGGAGGAGACAAAAAATAGAAATTGCTGGAAAAGCTCAGCAGGTCTGGCAACTTGTGGAGAGAAATCAGAGTTAACATTTTGGGTCAAATAACCCTTCCTCAGAACCGTTCTGAGGTAGGGTCACTTGACCTGAAACGTTAACTCGGATTTCTCTTCACAGATGCTGCCAGACCTGCTGAGCTTTTCCAGCAATTTCTATTTTTGTCTCGGATTTACAGCATCTGTAGTTCTTTCAGTTTTTATCCGCAAGAGGATGATTACTTTTTTGATTCTTTAAACACTCTAACTGATCTATAAAACTTTTAATTCATGGCACTTATTGACAAAGTTATTGAAATAATACCTTTAAGCTGTGCATCTGATTATTGTAAGGCATGCATAGATGTCTTCTACTTCAAAGCACTTTAAGCTCAGATTTTAATGTAGGTAAAACGATAGGCTTTACCTGATTCTCAGACATGAAATTAAAGCTATTTAAACTTTTCCACCTGATTAGTATATTCCATGAAGAACCTCCAGTCATTCTGACAGAAAACGAAAATGACATGATTTGGAGTCAGAAGTCACATGACACCAGGTTATAGTCGAACAGGTTATTTGAAATCACAAGCTTTCGGAGCGTAGTCCCTTCATCAGATGAAGTGACACAGAATTTACAGGCAGTGAGATCAAAAGATAATATAAATGGTACGAGTGGAGTGGTCAAATAGCAAGTCTCTGAAGGGATCAAAAGTGTCAGACGTGTGTAAAGTGTCAACAGCTGAATAACAAGTGAAGGGATGACCTATAATCTGATTAAATGAAGCGGAGAGATAATTACAAAAAAATTTAAAAAATAGTGGTGCAGCAGACAAACCAAATGACTGGAATAACATGATAGGTATAAAAATCACATGCCAAGGGTCTAACCAAAGTTAAAAGTAATCCAAAACTGTACAAACTAATTAAGGTAGAGTGATCATAACAATTTATCAAAGGGGATGGTGTTAAAAATAGGACAGCAAGAAAGATTTTACAGAATTTCAAGGACATTCAACCTCTGATCTTCAGTCAATCATCCTCCACGGTGGCCTTTGAGATACACAATGACAGAATCACCTAGCAGAAACTGATAGCCAACTTCTGTACCCATGAAGACAGCCTCAACCATGATCTTGGGTTAATGTTGCGCTACATATGACCCCACCACAATGTTCTGTATCTGTAAAATCTTCCTTTACTTTCCAGTTTTGACACCATCACCTTGATAAATTGTTATGATCTCTCTACTTTAATTAAGTTGTACAGTTTTGGATTACTTATTACTTTCATTGGACCCTCAGCATGCGACTTTTATACCTATCATGTTATTCCAGTCATTTGGTTGGTCTCCAGCACCACTTTAGTTTTTTTCTGTAATGGTCTCTCTGCCTCATTTAATCGCATTATATGTCCTCTCTTCACTTGCTATTCAGTTGTTGACACTTTACTCACACTGTCTTACACTTTTGATCACCTACAGAGACTTATTACTTGACACTCCACTCACACCATTAGTATGATCTTTTGATCTCTCTCTTCCTATAAATTCCATGTCTGTGTGCTTCTCTGACTCCACCTGACGAAGGTGCTACGCTCTGAAAGCTTGTGATTTCAAATAAACCTGTTGGACTATAACTTGGTGTCATGTGACTTCTGATTTTGGCCACCCCAGTCCAACACTGGCATCTCCACATTATGATTTGGAGCAGAACAAGCATGACAAAAGACACCATTAGTGCATATGGGAATAAATTATAAATTACCTATGTTTAAGAAATTTAAGAGAAAGCAAAAATATTCATCACCTTTTGACAAGGTGCAAAATACCTAATGGGCCAAAGTGCTAAAATACCATAATTTAAAAACGCATTAATATTTTATTTATGATGGCTAAAGGAAGTGTACTTCAGCAGATTAATAATTTTCTCGATATTGAAAGATCCCACTTACCAATAAGAATGCTGTTGATATAGATGGGTTCAATGAAGTGACTAAGTAGAGCTCCCTGAACTCCAAGTACTTCCCAACGAGTAAGCTTATCACTGGCCGACATGCTACACACTCTAGAAGCAGTTATGTCAGGACTGCAATGACTAATTGCAAACACCTTCCCATCCAAAATAACGTGAAGTTCCATCTCTTTATTAGTATGAAAAGTAGATATCGAGTGAGGAGCCAGATGCCTGTACAAGGAAAGGTTACACATTGCCCTTACAAATAAAAATTCCAAATAGACGGGAGGAAGTAAAAAACAGGTCAGTAAGCAACCTTAAAGCAAAGAGATAAGTTAACATTTTGACTTTAATCTTCCAAAGTTTTTTTTAAAAAAGAAGATTCAATAAAAGGGCCGAGGGAAAAAGACAAAAATTTAAAGTCACAGAAAATAACTTAATGATTTGAATAGCTGCAATTTGCTAATCGGAAAATTAGATGTAACAAGTTTGACTTAAGTTAAACCATAATTTAATATGTTTCTGAGTATCCATAGTACAGTAGCAGTGAGGCTCCTTATGAGCCACAAGAGGTCAGAAAATCACCCTGACATGTTAACTTGTTGTTTTCTCTTTGCACATTCCAAATGTTTTAATTCATGTTTATAGCAAACTATTAATTTCACTTGCAACAATTTATTGTGGGTACCAGATTATTATTAAATAATGTTAAGTACTTCCTTGAGATTTTTTTGTTGTTTAAAAGTTCAATGAAATATCATTTTGGAATAAATCACGTGATGTATATGTCCAAGATATCTGATCAGGGTGAATTAATGGCTCTAGTTATGCTTGTGTTAAACTTTTGATTTTAATATATTTTCTACCAGAGAGGATTAGATAGGGTGGACAGTGGGAGCCTTTTTCCTCGGATGGTGATGGCTAGCACGAGGGGACATAGCTTTAAATTGAGGGGTGATAGATATAGGACAGATGTCAGAGGTAGGTTCTTTACTCAGAGAGTAGTAAGGGCGTGGAATGCCCTGCCTGCAAAAATAGTAGACTCGCCCACTTTAAGGGCATTTAAATGGTCATTGGACAAACATATGGATGATAATGGAATAGTTTAGGTTAGATGGGCTTCAGATTGGTTTCACAGGTTGGCGCAACATCGAGGGCCAAAGGGCCTGTACTGCGCTGTAATGTTCTATGTTCTATGTTCTACAGAACGACCGGCTATTCCTGAAAACTGACTTTGCACTCCATTATATCAGAGTAATAATCATGTCAGTTGAACGAGTTTTGCAGTGAGGGTTCAAGAAACAGGCTTAATCATGGAGCCAAGATCACTTGACTCTTCCTTATTGTCCATTCTATTGGATGAGGTGCAGCCAGGCTTATGGTCCTAATGAATGGAGGAAGAGGCCTTGCATGCTTTGAAGTGTTATATAATTAATTAGATAACAGTTGTTTACTTCCTAGCTGGCTAGCTCTACCTCACAAAGTGCAGCTACATTTGACAAAAAATGGAAGGTTCCATTGCACTTCAGTTCCAATGACAAAGGACCAGATTTTCCAATGACCAGATAGCCATTTCTGCAGCATAGTTGGGAGTTGCTCATTGGAATCTTGCAGAATCTCACACGAGCACTTGGGAGCAAACTGCCCAGGAAAATGAAGATTCCAATGGGCAATACCCAATCTTCTGAAAATATCCATTTAAACCAGAGAATTTGGAAGGTTCCACTCCTGATAATAGCTACCAAGGACAGGTTAGAAGATTTAAAACCTAGTCTAACTCCTGGGTAACCATTAAATTGACCCCAACTCACCATACACTCCCAACTACATCTCCCTAGAACCCTTATGCCAACTAGATCCTAACCCAAAGCTCCACTTTGCCAGCTACAAAGTCTAAGTGATCACTCCTCTTTCCCATATGGCTAAACCACCCTTTTCCATCTACTGCGGGATTGATCAAGTCTCTCTTTCTCCCTCACTCCCCCACCCACTACCCAGCATGCTGGATTCAACACTCCCTCTCCCCTGAAGGATCCAATATCAACCTTAAATATTCCACTTATCTAGCACCCTAACCCTACATGAAACAAAAGTACTATCGATGCTGGATACCAGAAATCAAAACAAGTTCTGGAGAAACTCAGTAGGTCGAGCAACATCTGGAAAGGTTAACATTGCCAGTCCAATATGAACAGTCATATTAGACTTGAATGTTAATTTTGTTTCACTATCCATTGATGCTGCCAGATGTGATGAGTTTCTCCAGCACTGTTTTTGTACCCGATTGCTATACTTGTATTACATACTTTCCCTTTCACCAAAAGCTGCTAAAGTCGCTGTCTGTGCTGCTGCTGGACATTTAAAACAAAACACGGCAACCACTGCTGTGAAAAACTGAGCATCATTTGACTTCTCCCAGTTCTCCTGAACTACAAGCACTAAACTGGATTTAAGGAAAGCACAATATTTCTGAAGGAGCTGTGATTGGAATGTCCTGCCAGAAGTGTAGAGTTCTGTCTTAAAGCAAAACAAGTAGGAGTGGAGTGACAATCTAACTATAATTACTAGTCATCGGAAAATCTAACTGACTACATTCTACTGTCGGGATAGATAATACCGTAATATCAAATTGAAAGAAAACAATTGGCTCAGGTCACTGACTTAAAAGTAGAGTAACACAGAGCATTAATATACAATTATAAGCAACTTTTAGAGATTTTATTAACAACAGGAATTACACATGGTCTGAAGTAAAGTCAGCAAATGATTCGTAAACGATGCCTATCATCAATTGATTAAAGGAGGCTTCAATCAATGTAAAACAGGGTTGTGAACTTTTAAGCTCTTATATTTTATATTCAAGCAGTAGAAGCACGCAGCCACAGGCATTGCTAGGGAATTATGACACAAATTAGCTTCTCATTTAATAATGAGAATCATATTGCAGTATGCCCTGGATGCGAGGCAGAATTGTGATCAGGCACACGAAGCATAAAAAGCAAGTTTAACAGACGTGTACTGAATACAGTCTAATTTGCTGTCAGATTTGAAAACTTTATATTATGAAATTATCAGCAACTCAGTATTAGAAACAGAATATGAAGGATGTAAAATATTCAAAATATTATACGTGTTTTTTACATTCATTGCACATGTTCTAAACGTAGGCAAATAAAATTGTTTTGTGGTGTTTTAGGACAATGACACCCACTCCCCCAAGCTAGTCACTGTTTGGAACCTAGACTTAAAAAACAAATATCATTCTTATACAATGTGCAATACTTTATGCATGTATTCACACCAACTCAACATTAGACTAACTCAAAACACCACCTTGCTAACTTACAACTGTTTTATCTGTGCAGCTCCTTTTGGCAGTTGATTCAGATAAAGGTGAAAGTTAGTACGATCCTTTACAGTAATAACTTTCCTTCCAGAGTCGATACAAAAAATAGACTGGTTTACCACATCAGGATTTTTGTTGTAGAACATAAGAAGGTGCCTGTAAAGATACCTAGAAAGTACATGGATACATATAAATACCCTATTCATTCATGTAAAGAAATTCTAATGCAATAAAATCTGCCTGTACTTTGGTCACTAAAAAATAACAAGTTAAATTAATGGGTTATAGAAACCATGAAATAATGTCTTAACAAACTGCTGCAGAGAAACCTAGTATGCTGCAAAAGTACAAGTACACTTGCCACAAAAACAAGTGATGCGTGTTATAATAATTTATATCACATTAACTGGAACACGAGTCACCTTCCAAGGTTCTCTTCTGAGGGACACCTTTCACACACTGGAATGCATCAATACAGGGCTACCAGAGGAAGCAACAAAGAAAATTCATCTCGGACAGTGGAATTCCTCATGTGATCAAACACACTTCTGCATCAGCAAGAGCTCTATTTTGGGATCAAAAAGCAGAACACAGTGGATGCTGGAAATTTGAAATAAAAACAGAAAATATTGGCCACTCAGGTCAGGCAGCTTCTGTTGGGAAGGAAGCAGAATTAACACTTCAGGCTTGTGAATAACCTTTTTCAAAGGCTAGGCAACGTTAAAAATAGAACAGTTTTTGAGTAAGGAACGGCTGGAAAGAACAAAAGGTCTATTCTAGAATGGAAGATGGCAGAAAGTGAATAATAGGAGAGTTAATGTTACCAGGGCCAAAGGGATTTGTGATGGGGCTAAAGTAAAAGATATGCTTAGAGCAGATGTGCTGCTGACTGAAAGCAAAAATAAAGGAAGGCTGCAGAGATTCAGTTCTGAAATTGTTAAGCATGCAATTGGAAGATGATATACTATATTATACTGGTGTTTCACTGGTACAGTAGGCCAAGGAGATTGGCATGTCAGCATGGATTGCAAGGACACGAAGCTCAAAGACATGTTTGTGGACAGACGTTCTGCAAAGGTGATTGCCAATTCTGTATTTGGCACTCTCAATGAATAATGCACCACATTCTAAAGCAGCAGAAAACCTTGGAAGTTGTCAAGTAACTGCTGTAGTATTTGGTGCTTGGACAGCAGGGAGTGTGTTTCACATGGCACTTGAAAGGAAGATTGCATTGGTGCTTCTGAGGGGTCTTCATTTTTCTTTAACCAAGGAGTGGCAGGGGTCTCAACTATCACATTTCCAACATCAATGTTCTCTCTCTCCCATCCCCAAGCCACAGAATCAGAGCACGGAAACAGACCCTTCAGTCCAACCAGTTCCACCTGCCTGCTCCTGGCCCATATCCCTCTACTTACGCGCTTCATGTACTTATCCAAATGTCTTTTAAACGTTTGCAATTGTACCCACATCCACCACTTCCTGAGGAAGTTCATTCCACACGCGAACCACCATCTGTGTAAAAAAACTTTTCCCTCATGTCTTTTTCAAATCTCTCTCCTCTCACCTTAAAAATGTGCTCCCTAGTCTTGAAGTCCCACATCTTAGTTGTCTTTTTCCTATCTATAACCTTCATTATTTTATAAACTTTTATCAGGTCACCTCTCAACCTCCTACACTCCAGTGAAAAAAGTCCCAGCCTTTCTCTATAACTCAAGCCTTCGGTACCTGGCAACATCCTGGTAAGTCTCTTCTGAATCCTCTCCAGCTTAATAGTATCCTCCCTATAACTGGGCGACCAAAACTGGACACAATATTCCAGAAGAGGCCTCACCAAAGTCCTGTACAACCTCAACATGACTTCATAATTCCTATATTCAAAGGACTGTGCAATTAAAGCAAGTGTGCCAAATGCCTTTTTACCATTCAGTCAATATGCCACATAAACTTCAAAGAATTATGTACCTGCACCCCTGGGTCCCTCTATTCGACAATACTTCCCAAGGCCCTATCATTAATTGTATAAGCCCTACCCTTATTTGTTGTACTAAAATGCAATACCTTGCATTTATCCAGATTGAACTCTACCTGCCATTTTTCAGCCCATTGACCCATTTAATCAAGATCCCTTTGTAATCTTGAAAAACCTTCACGGTCTACTATGCCACCAATTTTGGTGTCATCTGCAAACTTACTTACTATACCCTCTATACTCTCATCCAATCATTTATATAAATTACAAACAAAAGAGGACCTAGAATCGATCCCTGTGGAACATCAACAAAGTTGCTGGAAAAGCTCAGCAGGTCTGGCAGCATCTGTGAAGGAAAAAGACAGAGTTAACGTTTCAGGTCCAGTGACCCCTCCTCAGACCCTGTGGAATACTGCTGGTGACAGGCCTCCAGTCTGAAAAGCAACCCTCCACCACCACTCTGTCTCCTGCAATTAAGCCACACAGGATACATATCTTCTCGCTGATCTCTGTTCAATGGATCATAACTTGTCAGCTCCCAACAGATCTTCCACTCTTCTTTTAGGATTCTGAAGGGGTCACTCCACCCACAACACCCAATTTCACTCCTCTTATGCCAAAACAACATTGACCTCCCAAGCACCTTTCTGTTCAAATGCAGGAGGTGAAACAGCTGCATTTTCAACTCATCCCAAGGATTTAAGCACACCTTTTGGAGCTGTACTACTTTCAGTTTAGTTAATTGTATTTGCTGTTTGATTCACTGTGGTCTCCTCTACACTGGAGCTCAAATGCAGAGTGGATTACGACTTTGTGAAACAGCTCCATTCAGTCCACAAGCATGAGAATTTAGTGGCTTGTCCACCTTGCTCTTATGCTAACATCTTTGGAATGGTGAAACAGGACAAGGGCAGTGAAGCTCAATACTAGCTTGAGGAACAACACCTCATTAATAGCACAATTTACAGCCTTCTGGATTCAACACTGCATTCAACAATTTTAGTTATAACTCTGCCCTCTATTTTGTTTCCTTTTCTTTGCATGTTTGGTTTTCTTTGTTTTACTTTCTGACAGCAGCACAGCTGCACTCAGCACATTTGTTGTTTCTTTTTCTGCACTATCTCCATTTTATTTGGCACTATAGGAGTCTTGCGTTCAAACTCGCCTGTTTACCTCTGTATCATAGACCTGCCCGTCATTTTGTGCTATCCACTATTACATCTCCAACTTTTGTCAGGTCTGTTGAAAGGGCACCAAGTTAAAATGTTGCTCTCCCCAGAGGCTGTCAGACTTGCCGAGTAATCCCACTTAGGGACATTGGTTTGTTTTGCTACAAAGTATTTGAAAAAAGTTTATTACTCACACTCCCCTTAAGGATTCATGAAGGAAATGAGATGGGTGACAAATGCTCTTTAAAGATTATGGAAGCCCTGCAAATGCATCTGATACATTATGTTCAATTGCTGGCAGTTTAAGAAAAAGGAGCAACAGCAGACCTTTTGGCAAGTAAACTTGCTCGACCACTTAAAAAGATCACACGTGATATTCTGCTTTAACTTCAAGTTTCCGTCCAATCCCAAGAACACAAGTAATAGGAGCAAGAGTTGATGATTCAGCTCATCAAGCCTGCTCTGCCATTCAAATACACTCTGGGTTAATCTCAGGCTTCCATTCGTCATTTCTGGTCAGCCCCCTTATCCCCTAATTACCGGAGGTTCCAAATCTATGTTCAGCCTGCCCTTAAATGTATTTGAGAATGGAGCAAACAGAAATTCACCACTTCGACAGCCCCTTCTAAACCTTGAGCTCTACTACTAAGAAGAACAGATGCATGAGAATGCCACCTCCTGCAAGTTGCCCTCCAAGCCACATACGATCCTGATTTGGAAATATATCACCGTTCCTTTAATGTCACTGGGTCAAAATCCTCAAACACAGCTCACCACTACTGTCTCAAGGGCACTTAGGGATGGAAAATAAGTGCTGGCTTATGCAGCAATACCCACATTTCCCAGAAGAATGAGGGGGAGAAAAAGCCTGTGGGGATAAAAGAATTCCAAAAGACTTGCAACCTTTTGAACAAGGCAATTTCTCCTCAATTCAGCTTTAAAGGTTTGTCTCCTTATCCTGAGATTCTGTCCTTATGATTTAGATTCCCTGACCTGTGCCAATATCTCTCAGAATCTACCCTCATTTCTTTCAAACTTCAGAGAATAAAGGCCCAATTTTCTTGAGACTCTCAACATAGGACAACATCCTCACTCCAGGGACCAAACATGTAAATCTTCATTTTGGCACCATTTATTGTCCATTCCAAATTACACAAGTTGGAAATTAGATTGCTGTGGGACTGGAGTCATACGTAGGCCACACCGGTTAAGGACGGCAGTTTCCTTCCCTAAAGGACAATGGTGAACCAGATGGGTTTTCTGACAATCGACAGTCATATCATGGTCATCATTAGTCTCTTGATTCCAGACTTGTTTGAATATGCCTTGGCACGATTCGAACCCAGGACATTTCCTGGATCTCTGGATTAATGGTCTAGTAGTAATACCACTAAGCCATCATCTTCCAAAACATGTTACCAAGACAGCGTACAACTGCAGCAGGACATTTCTGTTCTGGTACTCTTAATACCCCTGCAGTAAAGGTCAAAATGCCTTTTGCCTTCCTAATTGTTTGCTGTACTTGTCATAATTTTTTACATTTTTTGTGCAAATACATGCATCCCATCGGAACATCAGTCCTAAAAGAAAATTTACTTTTCTATTCTCATGACAAAAATCTCACTTACCCAGGATATATTTCATCTTATGACTTGTTGTCTATTGGGTTTGTGTGCCTAAATCTCCTCACAGCCTGTGTCCTCTTCACGGCTTACATTACCTAGCTTTGTGTCATCAAAGTTGGTCAAAATAACAGTCGTCTCGAAGTTATTTATATAAGCCATAATTAGCTGAAACTCCAGGAGTCCAGTCATCTCAGCCTATTTACTTGAACATGTCTTGTCTTATGTACTCCTTGCTTCCTGACTATTAAAGAATTCCTTATGCATGGTGATATAATACCCCTAACCCCATATCTTATTTAATTCACCTTTTGTATGGTCCTTTAGCAAAGACGTTTTGGAAATCTAGGTGTAAAACTTCCATTGATTCTCTTTTATCTACTCCACTAGTTACATCCTCAAAAAACT